GCCCCTCTAGATGTGGAATGTATATACTCCCGCCAGAACCATGGTGTATGACAGAAGCAGGTCCCCGCCCCCTTTTTGAAGAACTTCAATAGAGACTGAATGTTAATCATAAAAAGCACATACATGTAGGAAAGCATTAGCTATCATTGGCTTGAAGACATTCAATTCGAAATGGCCATTTGATCCACCCACTGTGATGGCCATATGGTTTCCCATGACCTGCAAGGAAAAATAATTGCCGGAAACAGGGTTTTGAAATTAATTGACATTAATGAAATGCGATATATTTAAACTATCAATTCATAAGTATTTCAGCGACTCCTTGTAAAAAAGTTTTCCGGTTGATTACTACCATCTATTAAACAGAAATGTTATTACCTGAGCACAGACCATTGTTAGAGCCTCACACTGGGTAGGATTGACTTTTCCCTGACACCATAAAAGCTTGCATAAGAAAAAAGCCATAACAAGAAAAGGAGAAACTAACTATTCTCCATGAGAAATGAAACAAATTTTCTGTACATAAACTGAAAGACAAAAATAAAATAAGGACTATACAGGCATAATACTGCTTCCAGGCTCATTTTCAGGAAGAATGAGTTCGCCGAGACCGCACCGTGGGCCGCTGAAGAAGGAAAACAGAAAAAAAAATACATAAATACAAAGCAAGATGAAAGAAAAGTAAATGTTATTTAAAATATGCCAAACCTTCCTAGAAAGCGTATATCATTGGCAATTTTCATCAGGGATGCAGAAATAGTGTTAAGAGCACCACTACTTTCAACAAAAGCATCATGTGCAGCCTGGAAAAAATGTGATATTTCATTATGAGAAAAACTATATTGCTCTTGTACATGATAGGATAAATTTCTAACTACTCACAACATTCCAACTAATATCCTATTAGTAAGACAAAAGAAGCAGGAAATAAAGTTAAAAGACTAACCAAAGCTTCAAACTTGTTTTCCGCTGTGACAAATGGCAATTTTGTTTCCTCTGCTACTGCAGCAGCTATCTTTACATCAAACCTAGAAGAAGGTTGCACATTGAACACTACAAGAGAAATCAACAAACAAAGAGAAAAAGTAGCCAACTTTTTTTTTATGAAACTAAACAATATATCTAAACTATATTGCTATGTGTTTTCTCATCTGAGGTATGCAAATTTTAAAGTGCCAAGCAACGTCAATTCCTAAGAATCAGGTGAAAACAACTATTTATGCAAGTATCATATAACTGTCCATAAATGGAATTAATGATTCATACATGAACACAAGTATTTTCATGGTTTGACAAGGATACTGGACAAAAATGACACAGGGAAACTCACTATATAATTTATTTTGTTACAAAATTATATAAATCAATTTAATGAAATCAATTTAATGAAATATCACATAATTGCTCGTGCAAGTTTTTGGAAAAGGCTGGCCATGAGCGTTCTGTGTCCAACACGTGATTTTGCATTAGTTCTTTAACAGGACAGTTGGAATTTCTAATTTGGTACCTATAAATATCTAAATACTCTCTTCAAAATAAATCATGTTGGTAATGAAATAAGCATGGTGCTTCTTTAGATGCTTAAAAAGTAACTTTTAACTCTAAGTTTAAATTGAGAGAAGTTTGGGTTTGGGGGGTGGTTGGGAAGGAGGGGATCTTTACCATCCTTTCACTTGTTTGATAGAAGATATTAGCTTAGCAAAGTAGACGAAGGGATGTGAAAACTCTAATTTTTATCTTATTGTTTAATTTATAATTCTGTTACGAAAGGGTATTATTGACTCATTTCTTATAAGTAATCATTTCCATAGTTTTACTTTATAAAGTTAAATGGAAAAAAATACCAAAATAATTCTTTCCTTGCATTTACTTCTTTAATTGTTAGTTATCCAAACAAAACAAAAAAGAATTTTTTTCTTTTTTCTTTCCTCTAAAAACCAACTGGTTCTTTTCCTTTCCTTTTCTCTCTATTTCTCTACTAATTTTTACCTGAACGCATAAGCAAGAAAAAGAATAAGCACTCAATTACTCTTTGTAGGTTTTAATTCATGCCTAACTAATTTACATTTTACCCTCTTAAACATAATTAATTTTTTTTAAGATAAGAACCCAGCTGGTTTAACCAACTAAATGTAATTCTTTTCTAGTAATGCCAAAGACCCTCCAAAAACTCTTTTTTTTTTTTAAACAAAAGATCCTCTAAGAACCTTAGGAAATAACACAGGCAGTAAAATGTCATACATCACAAATAAAAAAAAAAAGTTAAAATCAAGCACATTTCTAAATGGCAGATATAACATATAACAGAGGAACATGCACGGGTCAACCTAGCCTTCTCCCAATATATGTTTACAACAAAAACCGATAGGAAAGATATATAATCTGTCACTTTTGGCCTTGGGTATCAAACTTGATCATGCAAATACAAGTCAAAACTATAAAGCTTGGTGTATAGGGCTGGTACCCCCGGTTGTTTGGCACCATGTTAATATATTTCTACACTTTTTATTTCAAAAAAGAAAAATACAAGTCAAAACTAGAGATTTAAAAATAAATAAAAATAAACAACACAGAAGCTACCATGCTTAGGACAAAATTTCTAGTTTATATAAAAGTTCCCATCAATCTCAAACTGATGCATACCCTTTCTTTGTGTTTAGTCCTGTTCCTACAGCAGTGCCGCCCTGTGCAAGCTGCTCACAAGATATCTCCAATATGTCAGAACTATTCAGAAAGAGAAAAAAGAACAGAACAGAAAACAGAATGGTTTACTTCAAAATAGGCATTACAAACCTGATACATGCGAGGCAGAGTGCACGTGATTCTGTCAATTCCATACTTGACCTGTAAACAAAGTGTTCTTGACCCATTAGAAGTGACTGACACATGATTCCTAGCTTGTCCATCTTCCAATCAATAAAAAAAACTGAAAGTTTTGAAAGGGCTTACCTGTGTAGTATAGCCACTAAACTCTTGCCCAAGAGTCAAGGGTGTTGCATCTTGGGTGTGTGTCCGTCCAATTTTAACAATATCTTTGAATTCAACAGACTGTTGAAAACAACCAAAACATCAAATTAGTCTAGACTGTGACTCTATCCAATTTAAAAATGAACTACATGCAAATGTAAACAAAGTGACATTAATAAGACGTAAGAGATAAAAGCATGTGAATCAGAAATTTGAAAGCAACAAGCATAACAACAAAACAGAATACTAGCTCATAAATGAACCAGGAATCCTGACCAGAAGAAAGAATCAGGGATATCAAATATAAATTTCAGACTTCAAGTGAAAAAAAAAAAACTCTTATCTGGTTACAAAATCACCAGGATGAAAAAATCCAAAAGCAATCTTTATGTTTAAGTTAAAGATATTCCCTACTGTGTAGTGCCAAAAATATCATTGCAAAGATATAGCAGCAGCACACATAATTTCACCATCATGCACATATTTTCCTTTAAAAGAAAACAAAAATCAAACCTTTGAATATAGTGAAGTATGTAAATTTTTCAGATTTGGTATCAGTCTTGAATTAATTTCCACTGCAGCTGCAATGTGCATTACCTGGAAAACCAAGAAAAAAAACAAAAAATAAGCAATTATCATAAGACCTGACCATGTTAACAAGGACCGTGCACATAACAATTCACAGAGGTAACTAACAGTTTTAGTAATTACAAGCCAAGCATCAGCATATTGAGAAGAATGAGAAGCTAACTCACAGTTGGGAATGTGTCATTAGATGACTGTGATCTGTTGACATGATCATTAGGGTGCACAAATTTTTCACCACGCTTGTGTCCAAGGATCTCAGCAGCTCTATTAGCAATAACCTAGAAATCCACAGTTATAAACTAAATGAAACATTGATACCAATAGATGATTAAACATCAGGTCAGGATTTCTAAAATTAAGAAAAAAAAAGATGATCAACTAATGAAAACAATATTATATAATGATATGCATAGCCTTTGGTAAGATGCTCCAAAGATTAATCACGGCGTTGTATAGACTTAGAGGGCATTTAGGATCACTTATTTCATGCTTATAAGCAGCTTTTAAGCACTTTATTTCAAATCTTTCTGTTTAATAAGTGGTGCTTATTAAGTTGTTATAAGTGGCTTTAAAAATGTAAAAGAAAAACCTCATTTTTAACCTTTTAGGCTTTTATCTTTTTATCTACCAAAATTACTTAATACTCTATTCATATCCACTTAAATTAACAATGAATAACAATGTAAATCATAAATATATTTATAATAGATATTTTTTTCCATTAACTTCTCTACAAAAAAAGTGTTTATTTCTAACAATCGGCACTTTATCCAAACACGTAACTGCTTATTTTCCAAGTAACAAACTATTTACTTTAAGTAGCTTAAAGCATTTTACTGCTTTAACTTTAAGCAATCCCAAAAACCCTCTAATTATTCTGCAACACTAAAATGCACTGCAGTTCTTGCCAACACTTACCCTAGATGCTTCAGTTTGGTGCATACATCAGATAAATTACAATCATGATAATGCACGCATAGAGAAGTGGCACTATGGTGTGCAAAACATATTTACAATCAAGTCAAATTAAGTAAAAGATCACATAACTTTATATTAAAAATGCTTCCAGAGCTCGCTTCAAAATTCACAAGGGGCAAACAAATAAAAAGCAAATGAAGCTGAACAGTCGAGCATAGAGCAAAGTCGTGAATCAGTATAACTATACTCTAGTTACAACCGGCGACACAGGGAGACAGAGAAAAACATAGGAAGAACTGGCAAACACTGACCTCATTGGCATTCATGTTACTCTGAGTGCCGCTGCCAGTTTGCCACACCACTAGAGGAAAATGATCGTTAAGTTTCCCCTCAGCCACTTCCTGCGCTGCTTGCATTATTGCTTTTGCTATGGTCGGGTCAAGACCGTACTCCACATTCACCTGCATCAGAATAAACTAATGCATAAAATCTAACCCCACAACTCATTAAAAATCACAACTAAGCACAATGTCCTCGTAGCGAGAGTAGAGAGCACAACTATATGCTCATTCCACAGTAAGCAATGAGAAGCTAAATCAAGAACTAGGACTTCTATAAAGTCCAACATGAAATTGCATTGACATGCAGTTTTAATTATCTACAAGAAGGACGAACCCTAGCAGCACATTTCTTGAGGATGCCAAAGGCACGAATAATTGGCTCGGGCATTCGCTCCCGCTCGCCGCCGATATCAAAATTCTGCAAGGATCTCTGAGTTTGGGCTCCCCATAATCTGAAATACACGTCGATGTTGATTACACAAATTTTTTAGGGAAAATCTTCAGCTATCAGAAGCATGAGGGAAGGAAAAGAATAAAATGAAAATGAGAGAACAACGAACTTATCGGAGGGAACAAGGATAGGTCCAAATGTGTCCTTCTCCTCCCTAAACGACGTCGAATAGAATCTCCAACAGGTGGCGTAACGCAACTGCGCGGTTGCGGATCCACCGGAGAGCCGCCGTGCTACAACATACAGGGCCATCTCCTTCCCTGCCTATTCCAAGACCAAAACCACACACACATCAACTATACATATACAAAAAGTGTATATGTATATACGGCTCGTATATAAACAACAATTAAATATTCATAAATGATTACCTAATCAGTAGAGCTGGAAATGAAGATTAAGGATGACGATGAAATTGGAGCAGCCGGGGAACTACGATGGAGGAGAGAGTGTGGGAAAGTGGGAATCGAAGTGATACTGTATGCCAATTATAAACAATAAATTTTAATATGGGCTTGCATGCCTCCGAGGTCCCGAGTACTTGGGCTTTAACTCAGATTTCCAGCCCGGCCCAATATAGCTCCATCAATCGAGACTTGAAATCCAACGTCCATTTGCTGATTTTATTGAAACTTGAGCTCCGGTGAATATCTCGATCCATAGTGATTTGGACCGACCGGACAATAATAGAACAGACCTAAATCAAAAACTCGTTAATAAATAAATATCACATAATTAATGAAATGTATGAATGATTTGTTTATATTATTAATAATTTATTAAAAAAGTATGCGAGTTAAAGTCAACATAAATTGGGAAAGTGAATTCATTGGATACCCTTGAGGATTCAGGGGAAAGCCCAAGTTTAAGAAGCGGTGTAGGGAGAGGGAGGGGACCCCTGCTTTACTTACTTTCCTATGCTTAATATGGGGCCATTACATGCACCAACTCGTGTCATAATAGCTGACTAGTGGAGAGGTGGTAGGCTTGAATTTCCTTTGGCAGATATGGTATATAGCGTGTGGGGTACTCGTACACGAATACGGTGTATAATATTATGCTCCGTGCGAGGCAAAGATGCTTCTCATCTAGGCATCACTTTTTTAAATATATATATATATATATTTAAATATAGTGAAAATGGTGATTAAATTATGAAATTTAATTATTTCATTTTTTTTTACATAAATAGCAATGTTTTCAATACATCTATAAATAATAATATATATATATATGAATTTAGAAATTAAAAATTAAAAATTATGTCAATCTTAATTTCTTAAAATTTGACCGAAGATAAGTAAGTGCTGAAAAATTAGTATTGAAATTAATAAAAGAAAACTGACGTAAAGATTTTTGTTCTCTTTGAATAAATTAGGGATGGGAAAATCATGGGTGTCTTGCAACTGCTAAATGTGTTATAAACTTTTTTTTTGTTTGTTTTATTTTTATGAGTTTTTCTGCTATTTAATAGCTTATAGGGACTTGTATATAAAGTAAAACACAATATTATCGTAACTTGTGACAGTAAATAATACCATGTCTATGAATATATACTTTGGTTTAAAAAAAAAAATTCAAAAAATAAATAAGACGTGTTTAATTTTTTTTAATAGAAATTTAGATTTTTCCACTGATTCAAACTAAAAAAAAATGAGGAGTAATTATAAAAAAGAACATATATTCTATTAAGTGTAAATGGTAATTTATAAAAGGTTAATTTTGAGTATTGTACAATCCATTATAAGTTGAGAAATTATTTAATACAATGAATGTATACAAAAATTAAAAAAAAAAAATTGAATTAGTCTAAGAAAATACATTATTTTTAATTATTATAAGTTATTTTATTAATATTATCTGTCACTTTGATTTGTACAACAATAATTATTATTATTACATAAAGTAAATTTTATAATAAAAAAATAATTAGAGTAACGGAAAAGGCTATTCATTATAATTTCTCAATTGATGCAAAAGAAAATTTAATTACCCACTCGAATATTCCATTTATGGAAAGTTGAAAGACAAGACACAAACTCAGAACAGCGTTGTCTGAAATCCAAACACAACTTCTTAAAAGAGAGTGGTGTTAGCCGGCTCCACAAGAAGCGGCAGAGAGAGCTCTGATCTGGCAAGATGATGCGCCAGCCTGGCATTTCTAGCCGGGTCCCACACCAACAACTACCACCATTCAAAAATCCACGTGCCAAAATAGCCTGTTCCTGGCCGCAGAAGATTATACCACCATATCTATTTTATTAATATTTAATTAATATTTAAATACGTAGTTGAAGATTATGATATGAGCTGGCATTTTATTTTTATTTTTTAGCTGTCGTTTTCACTTACCACCCGTTTGTTTTCTTGTTTTCACGTACTTGATTGGCGTTTTATTATGCATTAACGCAAGGTTTCTCTGTTCTTTCTCCCTACTCTCCTTCTCCTTGCTTCTTCTTCCTCCTCTTTGTCGTCTTCTTCTTCTTCTTCTTCTTCTTCTTCTTCCTCCTCCTCTTCAATTTCACGCAATACTGTTATTTTTCCTTACCGTTCTTTACTGCCCACCTCGCTTCTGCCTCTAACTCTGGTTGAGTTTCTAAACAAGCTAGTACTCATGAAGAGGATAGTAAGTACGTTCTCTTTATGTTTTTTCCTGTTTGAACATATGGTTATGATGGTTTTCTTATCTGGGTGTGTGGATAAACCTGTTATTTCAATGGCTTTTTTTGGTCTATTGTATTGAATTTTGTAGTGGGTGATCGGGTTTTTGTCGTATCTGACACGAAGTTTGTTCATTTAAGAACTGGAATTGTCTGTTTTTAGTTATGTTTTATCTTTGAGGATCTATGGAGTCGGTTAAGTTTATCTGAATCGTCATCGTTTTGATTGGGTTTGAAGAGAGTTTAGTTACAGTGCAAATGCTTCTGCATTTTTATCTTGTTTGCCTTAGCATCTTACGTGTTTGTCTTTATGACCAAGAGAGTTGTTTGGAACATGGAGAAGAAGCTATTTATCCATTGATTTTAGCTCAAGGCTTCTTCGGCTATCCCCAATTTGTCCATCATTATGTCCAGAAAGCTTTCTGCATCTCCTCCATTTTCAGTTGTGTGAGCTATTAGTACTGTTTTCACGGAGTTCTCTCTCAAAGTCATGAAGCTAGAAACCAATTATTCCTTGCTGCCATCTTTTTCTTTTCTTTTTCTTATCCCTTTGTCCTTTCTTGACAATCTGTTTAACATGTGGAATCCTTACTTAAAGGCTGAGTATTGGGTTGAATTCTTTTTTTTTTTTGTTTTACCTTTTTCTTTCTGTTTGTTTCTTTTCAGGTTTTTCTGCTTTTGTTTGTAACAGTAACAAGCTCTGTTGAGAACAGTAGAAATTTCAGGACTAAAGAAGAAAATGATCTGGGATATTGCAAAGGCACCAAACCTTTGGAACCCAGGCCTCACAGTGTGTCCATTTTAGAATTTGGGGCAGTTGCTGATGGAAAAACTTTGAACACAATTGCCTTCCAAAATGCCATTTTCTACCTCAAGTCCTTTGCTGATAAAGGAGGTGCTCAGCTCTATGTCCCAGCCGGCAGGTGGCTTACCGGAAGTTTTAACCTTACCAGTCACCTTACCCTCTTTCTTGAAAGAGGTGCCACAATTCTTGCATCTCAGGTTATCTTCTGACCAACATACTTGCCTTTTAATGCTTCTAAGAGGAAACAAAACTGAAGAAGAAAAAAAGAAAAAACTTACAGCTTATTTACTTATGGAAAAGAGTTTTGATTTTGTAAATTCATATATGTTTGTAAGTAAATATGCTGATAGTTGTTAAAGGATGAAACAAGTCTGGGGAAATGATGTACTCAACTTATTTAATAACGCAAAATGAATCTAGAAAATCAAACATCAAAGATGCTTTTATATAATAGATGAACCCAACAACTAAAGCTGAAACTCAAACTGGGGGTAGGGTTTGAGATTTGTTTGTGCTTAAATTATTTTGGTTTTTCAGGATTTGGCTCACTGGGGAGTAGCTGATGCTCTCCCATCTTACGGCAAAGGAATTGAAGGGCATGCTGGGAGATACCGTAGCTTAATTAATGGAGAAAATTTGACTAATGTGGTTATAACAGGCATGGATTATCTCTCTATTTCGAGCTTTAAGTTTACCTTTTGTTTTCTTTATGAGCATCAAACTTTCCCTCAAAACAACTCACTCACAAATTACGCCAGGTGATAATGGGACTGTTGATGGCCAGGGATCTGTTTGGTGGGAGATGTTCAATTCTCATGCCTTGAACTACAGCCGGCCACATCTTGTGGAATTCATTAGTTCCAAAGATGTCATTGTTTCGAATTTAACCTTCCTGAATCCTCCAGCTTGGGGGATTCACCCTGTATATTGCAGGTATTGGTTGATAGCTTGGTGTCAAAGTTCTATATAAGTGTTTATTTGTTTATATTTTTATAAGAGCTGGATTTGTTTGGTGATACATCTAGTTGCAATGTCATGCAGTAACGTGCAAGTTCAGAACATAACAGCTAATGCTTATTCTGAATCTCCTTATACTAGTGGTGTAGTCCCAGGTTTGTTAAATAATTTTCAGTACTTTAAGGCTACTTAATGTATTGCTTGGATATCCTCTGTTGAGTTGTATCTTTTTTATTTTAAATTCCCCCCCTCCCCCACCCCCACAAAAGAAAAGAGCAAGTCCTTTTAGTTTCCTCATAAGCACAACCCTCAACTAGCAGATACTGAGGGTTATATTTGCAGAATTGCCCTGCTTGTACCAGATCTTTTCTGTCATTTCTCCCCAATTCACTTCTAGAGCTGAAATAGAAGTTATATAACTAATATAGTTCCATAACTAGAACTATATTATTATTTAAGTATTATCCATTGCACGAAATACTTTCTTTTTTACCTAGAGTGAGCATATATTGACATTTTATTGTTATATGTTATTGATGTATATTGTTATGTAACATATAAAACTGTTTTATTTTCAGATTCTTCAGAGAATATCTGCATTGAGAATAGCAACATTAGTATGGGACATGATGCAATAGCATTGAAGAGCGGTTGGGATGAGTATGGAATTGCCTACGGCAAACCTACCACGAACATTCACATCCGGGTAGTTCACCTTCAGTCCTCTTCGGGCTCTGGCCTAGCAATTGGCAGTGAGATGTCCGGAGGCATCTCAAACGTACTCGCAGAGCACCTTTACGTGTACAACTCCCTTTCTGGTATCAAACTAAAGACAACAGCAGGCAGAGGAGGTTACATAAAAGACATCCTTATATCAGATACAGAAATTGATAATGTTCAGCTGGCAATTGGTGCTGTAGGTGACTGTGGCCGCCACCCGGATGACAAATATGATTCTACTGCAATACCAGCTGTTAAAAACATCGGATTTAAGAACGTGGTTGGCAGAAATGTAGGTTTTGCTGGGAATTTCACAGGAATTTATCAATGGCCTTTCACATCAATTTGTCTGTCAAATGTTACCTTCTCCATTACTTCAAAATCTTATGCCTCATGGTTCTGTTCTTATGTTATTGGTTCCTCTGAGAGGGTATCCCCTGAACCATGCTTTAATATGCAGAGTTCATTTGTAATGCTTCCTTTTGTTTCTCTATCTTGCATCCCAGTAGTGGTGGTACTGCAATTTTGTGAGATCAGATTTCAAAATTGACATTCATTTCTTCCACTGCATGTATATAAAGAGACTACGAGCACCCTTCATTATACTTCTGACTCGGAAAGAATAGTTTTCAATAACATCAATTTTAGAATCTTTCTTTTTCTTTTCCTTCATTCTCATATTGCAGTTAAGTTGTGGATTGTTATCTGTCAGTTTTATCTTCTAATTGGAGTATATACCATAACCTCATTCAGCTTGTTGAGCAGGGTCGGTAGATTTTGGTATCTGCTACTACAAATTCAATGTTTTTTCATTCTCAAGAACATCTTATCTTTAATTGATAATTAAAAAGTTTTTCTACAGAAAATTGACTTCTCCCATGAAAATTGAGAAATACCTATTGTCCTATTCATACAACATTCTATCTTCTCCTACTTTCCAAAAATAGATCCAAGACAAAAAAAAACACATTAAAGAGAGAGAAGAGAAACATGAAGTTTCAAGGTACAAGAGAAGGGGAAGAGAGTTGAACCCATGCTAATTCCTCTTTGTAACCCACACCATCTCCACAAGAGGCTTCACATGTGTATATTACAATTGTTGCCCAATCAAGAGAATCCACCTCATTCTTAACATCAAAATAATAAAGCAGCTGAGGCAAAATCTGAAAATCACCAAAATATCAACCAAACAAATTAATGGGGGTTTAGAAAACATATGTTATACTATTAATGAAAAAAAAAAACATAAAAGCACAACTGAAATTATCAAAAACACAGACAAGAGAGTTTTTTGGACTCTTTTACTCCTTATGCCTTTTGGCCCTGAGCTATAGATGTTAAACCTTGTTCTTATACATAAAAATATTTCTCTTTCCATTTCCAATATATTTATGCACAAAAAACATGTATTGCAGTAATTTATGAGTGGTCTCTAAAGTACAAATAAATACAACTTTTCAGAAAACATCATCATGTTTTTTATTCTTTTCAAACTCCCGTTACATTTTTTGCTATTGTTTTCCAAATTTTGTTTTTATTTTTAATGACTATAACATGCTTTTATAAATATGAATATACAAAATGAGAAAAAATACTTTCCTTAACCAGAGAGCCTATAGTTTCAATTGAAACAAAAGCTATATCGCTATATATAGATAATCACATCTTTTTTTCTTTTCACTACATTGCTAGATATACAGCTTGTAAGCTAAATAAAAATACATAACCAACATGTTTCTGCTTATTCGTCAGGAGCTTACAAGCTTCATGAATTGGTACCTTACGTCTTATTCCCTATAAAAAAATCAAATAGCCCTTAAAACGTCTTTTTTTTCAAACTCATTTTACATCTTTTACTATCATTTTCAAAATACTGTTTTCATTTTCTTATACTACACATGCTTTTATGTTATGGCATAAATGGATATAGAAAAAGATACAAAAAAATAACCTCATTTACCAAACAGGACCTGTAGTTTCAATAAAAACAAATGTCATGTTGCTAGATATAGATACCTACATACCTGAAATTCAAAATTCAAAGGACCACCACAGAAACTGCATTTAGGAATGTCTGCTTTTGATGGACGGCCACTTGACATCGGCCAAAGGGGTTTAGCATTCGCATGTCTGCAATATCTGTCAATTTTGAACAGATGATATAAATAACCCAGAATAGCATATTAAAATGGATGAAAGTAAGAATAAATAGATCAGCTGGGAAAAAAAGAAAGAAAAGTTATCAATGATGAATGCAGATTATGCAAGCAATTAACATGAAACTATACCGATTCAAAGAAAAAAAAAGAAAAGAAACCTTTAAAATGGAAGTTGCTCTAAGTACATGAGTCTAACCGGTCCTTAACACATTAAATTTTTTTTTTAAATAAAAGAAGTATGTTATAATAGACAAGGTACCAAAAGCATACCGTCCGTATAAAAAATAATTACATATCTATCAAGTGGTCAATGATCATCCCAATCTCATATAAATCTCTCGTGTCATGACCCAACAAAATAAAACCAAAGTATTAATCCATCTATCTCTAATTTTTACAAAATCATTTTCAGCACCCTCAAAAACTCTAACATTTCATTCTTTCCACATGACCCAAAAAATGGCCAGCGGAACAAGAAATAAATATTTTTTTCTCATAAATATACCCGACCAAGCCCACAATTCCTTGCTAACAGTTTCCGATATAACCCAATTCAACCCCATCAACCCATAAACCGTAGACCAAATGTTATAAACAGCCAAGCAAGTGAGTAGGATGTGATTGCAAGATTCCTCACCGGCTTTGCAAAGGTAACATCTTTTAGTCAATGTAATACCTTTTCTTTTAAGCATGTCAATGGTTAAGATA